TCAAATTGAAACATCAGCTCCTCTTGGGTCTTGAGCTTGTTGGCTTTCAGACTGCAAACTTACACCATTGGCTCTCTTGGTTCTCAGGCCTTTAGACTCAGACTGGAAGGACACCATTGGATCTCCTGGGTCTCCAGCTTGCCAACTGCAGATCTCGGGACTTATCAGCCTCCGTAATTGCGTGAGCCAATTTCTTATAATAAATAAATATATATGTATATGTACATACATATATATGGTATAGAAGTATGACACAGATTTTTTTCATACACGTGTTGGTTCTGTTTCTTTGGAGAACCCTGACTAATACAGCTATAAGATTTTTAAAAATTGATTTCCCACCATCCCCCCTATTAAATCTTTCTGGAAGTCCTATTACACATATGTTTGACTTTCTCTTTTTATCCTTCATATCTCTTAAACTCTTGTTCAGGTTTTCTATCTCTTTCTGTCTCTTTACTCCATTTTGGGTGCTTTCTTCCAGTGTCTCTTTTAACTAACTCCCTCATCAGCTAGATCTAATATTAACTTATCCTTTGAGTTTTTCATTTTAGTGACTATGTTTTTCATTTCTGGAAGTTCGATATGATTTTTTAAAAAATCTCCCAACTCTATTTCCCCTCATACTATTCTGTTCTTCTATTATGGTTTCTATTCCTCCTCTTATCTATTTTAATCATCTTAATTTAATCTTTTTCAGATAGTTCTATTTTTACCCTTCTTCTCTCTAGTTGGTTGTGTTTGTTAACTCTCCATCTTGGTCACCTTTCCTCACATGCTTTGTTACTTTTTGTGGGCATCTTTATCAGAGATTGCTTTTTCTAGTGGATTCTGGAAGCCCTGGATTGTTAGGCATCCCTATAGAGCTGTTTTGGATTTACGTCAGCCCTAACCTAGGAATTTTAATGGTCTGGACCAATTTTTATGTTAAGTTTTCTTAGTAGGTGCCTACATATACAGGCAGAGAATATTTAAACCCCCATACGCATTTGGCAGAGATTGGGATTTCTGTTTCTTACAAATGCCACGCAAGGCCTCTTTAGACCTCAAGCTTCTTTGCAACTTCTCTAACCCTAGGATACAGTTTTTCCAGTCTCTTTTTTCATGGAGGGAACAGAGCTTCCAATGGCAGGGCTTTATGCAGGGGGCTCAGCTCAAATTTCCTTACCTAGCTGGTACTGGAGCCCCATCGCCTATTCCTTAGTGTACAGTGTGACCATGGCCTACAGCTCCCAGGATCTATAGCTAAGTGTGAAATCCTTTTGTGCTGCTAAGGCACATCACCTGTACCCTGTTTTTCATTTCTTACATCTGAGAGTTCTCTTTATAGTTTTCAAATTTGGCAATAAAAATATGACATTTCTGTTATAATTCATCCAGCATCTATGTCTGTAGCAAGTGGTGGGATGGGAGACCCATCTACACTAGCATATTTGGTCATGTTTCTAGAAGTTGCCAAATTAGAAACAATAATTCTCTGAGAAAGACATTTATTGTCTCCATTTTATAGATAACCGAAACTCAGGACGGTTGTCTAAATTGCCAAAGCAATAAAACTTTATATGAGGAAATGGGTTTGTGTTCAGTCTGTTTGTCTACAAAATCCATGCTAGATATCTAGGCATTTTAAAGGTAGCTCAGTATCTGGCTTCTTTCCATTGTTAACCTTTATGGACAATTAACCCCTGGCATTTTGTTGAAGCAAATACTCTGGAAAAGAGTCCTCCCCCTACTAGGTAAGGCTGTTTTGAGAGAAGGAAAGGGCGTGTACAGCAAGCCATGGAAGCCCGAACCTGAGAGCTGCTGATAAGAACATTTAGCTGGGAGGCCAATGAAAGCCAACAGGCATATGTGCCACCATCTAGAAGCATCCCCAAGTTCACATGTGCAGTTGGCAGTAAAGGGGACATAGCAAGGGTTCTGCACATTGTTTTTGGCTTGCCTCTGGGATAAGGTGGGAGAAGGAGGAAGCCCAGGCCATGGAAGGATTTACCTGTAATTTCTGCGGAGTTTGGGGATGTCAGCAGAGACGCGTATTCGGAGGCTTTTCACTTCACTCCTTAGCCTGGGGGCACTTCTTGCCCAGTGCATCTTGCACAGAGCCTAGCCCTGAGCAGGTGCCCTGAAAAGGTGTGGTAGACCAATGGAGATCAGTTCAGGTCTAACTGAGGGAAAAGACACTTCAAGTACTTACTTTAATGGACCTTAATGAGGTGCACTGGTTACACAAGTGATGGAATGGAAGACAGAGATGCATCCCAGAGTTTAGCAAGAGCAGGAAACCACTGCTACCCATGAGGCAAAGGGGCAGAGAGGGGAGACATTCACCAAGGCCCAGGTACCAGGTGACCAGAAGCTCAAACCCTATCAGGCCTATCAATAGGAGAAAGAGCCATGGAGAACATGTAGCCAGAGATGCCACTGAGGCAGATGGGGAGGAGAAGAAACACCCTGGCTCTTCCTCCTGCTTCCACCTACCCCCAGTCTCCTGCTAGTACCTCCCTTTGGTCAAACTCAGATGGAAGTCCGATGTCTTGGAATCTGGATTTGAAGGCTGAATGGACTGGCTTCCTTGTGTTACAAAGCAGAGCAGGAGAGGACTAGGGGATGGGTCTGAGAAAAACAGGCCCAAGACTGGCATGGGAGGGAGGGGAGGGGAGGGGTAAAATAAACAGAATGCCTTGAAAATGCTTGACAGGAGATTCAAATCCAGTGGAAAGGAGTATAATCAGAAAAAAAAATACTTTCTGAAGGGAAGGGAAGGGAAGGGAAGGGAAGGGAAGGGAAGGGAAGGAAAGGAAAGGAAAGGAAAGGAAAGGAAAGGAAAGGAAAGGAAAGGAAAGGAAAGGAAAGGAAAGGAAAGGAAAGGAAAGGGGAGAAGACATGCCTATATGTAACATAGCATTCTAAAATACTCGTATGTATCTTTTTCAATTAAAAAGAGTCTTAGGATAAAAGTTGCCTTCCTTACAGAGTTTTTGGATCAAATGACAAAATGGATGTTAAAATCTTTTGAAAACTGCCAAGTGCTACATGAATATGAAATAACCATCATTAATATCATTAGTTCTTTTAGAGAAAGGAATTATACATGAATATGAGTGTAAATAAGAACGCTTTATTGAGCATCTATTATGTGCAGACACTCTGCATGCATGTATATTTGAATATTTTTAGCTGCAAGTAATGATAACTAACCATGACTTAAACAAATGGGTAGTTATTTTCTGGCATACCAAGAAATCCAGAGGTACTCCTTTGTCCTTTCCGTCTTGATTACAGGGGCTGTGATGCCCAGCCATCACCTCCAAGTTCAAGGCAGGAAAAGGTTGGGATAGAAATACAGTTCAGACTAAGCAGTCTTGTTTCATCAGGAAAGCAAAAGCTCTCCCAATAACTCCCATCAGAGTTTTACCTAAATCTCATTGGCTAGAACTGGGCTGCACAATCAACCTAACTACAAGGGAGCTGTACTGGTAGGTAGGTAGCAAGGGAGAAGTGGCTTCTGGGTGGCCGACCAAAGTGGTCTGCCACATGCATATAAAGCATAGTACTTGGCACAGAGTAAGTGTTCAACACATGTTAGTTATTTTGTGTGCTCTGTGTGTGTGCATATCTGTGTGTGGTTATATGTGTTCTGCATTTCTCCTAACAATTCTGTGAGGTAGGCTACTCTACAAATGAAGCCTAACACGCAGCTGGTAAAAGGCAGAGCCAGGCCTCAGACCCAGCTCTTTCTGACTGTAGTCTAAGGGCTCTTTCCATTGCCATGTCATACCCCACCCTCCCCTTAAACTGGCTCTCCTAGTCCTGGTCTTGGAATCACAGCAGACTTGGTGGAGAGAGAAGGTGGAAAAGGATCAACTCTGAAATAAGTTGACACCTGTCCCTGGGACTATACACTGAGTAACGATGAAGTCATGAGAAGAGATTCCATAATTACACATGCTAGACTTGTGCCTCCACCTGTGTAGTCACTGGAATGGTCACACTGGGAGGCTTGGCACGTGTTCTGATGATACCAGTACTGCCCAGAACTCCTGTGAGACTTTCATTTACAAGTCATGAAAAGACCTCAATCCCATTACAGTAAAATTACACCTCATTTCTTACCCCAAACTCAGCTGCAGCTCCTCATCTCATTTACCATGAGTTTCAAATGGCTTTTGACTGTTGCCAAGAATAAAAAATCATTCCCCAAAGACGGAATTGTATTATAATTTAGATGCAAAAGAATGGCTTGAATGCTCTGCAGGCAATTTTCAAATCAAAATTATAGAAATCTTTAAAGTAGCAGAAGCACTGTTGAAATAAATACACCCTCCAGGTTGATATGTTGGAAGAAGTCAACTCTTAAGTTTGGTTGTATAATTTCTGCTGTTTAAGAAAAATTACCTTGAAGGGTATTGTGAAAAGAACATTGGACTTCATAAAGATACCAGGGGGATAATACTTAATGCAGGTCAGGACACTGTGAGATGGGCCCACTCATGCATTGGCGGAATTATAAATTGATATCACTTTCTCGGAGCAATTTGGCAGTGAGCATCAAGAACCTTTAAATCAATAGTTTAAATCAGTTGACCTAGAAATTCTATTCCTAGGACTCTTTCTTAGGGAAATAGTCAAAGAGGTGGACGAAGATTTATGTATACGGTTATTCATTTTATTTGTAAAATAATAAAAAGAAGTAAATAACTCAAATGCAGCCTTTTAAAATTACGTTTTTGAAGAATTGTCAACAATGTTTGAAGATGTGATAAAATCAGACTATAAAACTCCATGCATTTTATAGTCCTATTTTTACTTTCTATTTGCTAAAAAAAGAAAGCTTCAAGATAGACTCAAAATGTAACCACAGGTTTTATCTGGGTGATGAAATTATAGGTGATTTAAAATATTCTTCATTATACTTTTATATATACAGTTTTTTATCATTGTAACTGTAAATATTACTTTTTAAATTAGTAAAATATGTATAATGAAAATTAATTTTCAAGGAAGGAAGGTGTTTTACTGAGAGAGAAGACATCTGCCCCCAAGAAACTGATAGTTTATGGAGGAAATGAGACACACACACGAATTTATTAAAAGGTAATAAAGGCTCTAATCTCTGCCTGGGAGAGCTGAAGGTTAGTGAAAAGAGGTAACATTTAAGCAGGGTCTTGAAGGATGAATAGAAGTTCTCTAGGGCTTTGTAAATTGTTTAGCACTATGTAAGTGCAAGGTAGTTTCGGGCCTTTATTATTACTGTCAAAGTTTACCTCATATAAAGCTCTCTTTCTTGTCTCTTTCCCATGCTCCCTGAAGCCCAGGATCCCTGGGACAGGAAGCAGCAGCAGTTAAACAGTCACACATCAGTGCTCCAGCAAGTGAACTGAGAGGTACATCAACTGAGGAGCAGATCCAGGACCAGAGGACATAAAATTATCTGGGAGCAGGGCCAGGAACGTGCTGGTGGGTAAACAATTCCCCCTTATTTGCCCCGCTGGAAAGGCTAACATTACTTGGGGCCTCCACTCTGAGCTATGCGGCCATCTCTACCTGGGGGATGGTAAAAACCAAGAATGAGTATCATACATCAGTCCATGATTTACGTTGCCAGGAAATGGTGTGTCAGATCTCCTTATAGTCTCCAGACAGGGCACAATAGAGAGAAGGGGTGTGAGTGAGGGGACCAGGAAGAGTGGCGAGAGATGATTTGTTTGGGAATAATTAGAAGCTCAAGGTTGGAAGGGATTTAAAAGTTATCTGATTTAATCCTCTAGTTCCCTTTTCTAACATCCTTATCACATTGTCATCCTTCTCTGCCTTTGGGGTGCAGCTCAGAGGCCACCTCTTATATTACCTCCTACTTCAGGCATTCATCATTGTTCAGTTTTATGAGGAAGAAAAATTCAATGCCCTCTGTGCACCAAGCAGTGGGCTTATAGTTCTTTGATTGCAGTATGCCCTCCTGTGCCTCATGTCATTTATTTATTTATTCATGCAACCAACATATATTGAATACCTATACTATGCCCTGCAATGTCTTAGATATTGTAATTGAGTGGAGAAAAAGACAGCCAAGATATGTTCTCATGGACCTATCATACTAATGGGGGAAACTTACAATAAACAAAGGAACAGATAAGAAAATATCAGGTCATAAATGTCAAGGAGTCAGCTTTGGGAAAAGCTAGAGGAAGAACTTTCCATACAAAGAGAGAAGCTGATTCTAAGATCTTAAGGAATACCTTTGCTTGCTCTAGGAACAAAAAGAAGGAAACTAGCATTGTGCAAATGAAAATCTCATGTTTTAGGACTTGGCTCAAGCACTGCCTCTTCAGGCAAATCTCTTGATTTCCCCGAGTAGAAGTGACCACTGTCTCTTCTCCGCATTGTCTCTGAGTAGGCTTCTGTCAGCGCACCTGTAACAATTTGCCATTCTTACCATACTATAGCATCACTACCCCTTAGTGGACCTTAGAGCAGAGCTTCCTAACTCAATCCCTAATTCCCAGTACAGAGCCTGGCACAGAATCTGTGATCAGTAAACATTTGTTCCTTGAATATATGAACTCTCACTAAGCATTCTATCAGAACTTCCCTGATTATTCAGAATTAGCAACCATTTCTTGACCAATGCCAGGTGCTACGCAAGGTACTTTTAACTCTAACTCTTAGAAGCCTCACGGCTGCTGTGAACAATAAGAATTATTGTCCTAGTCTGTAAAGCTCAAAGAGAATCAAAGTGACTTCTGAGGTGGCTCAATCATAAGAATTAGCTGGAATTTGAACCCAAGTTCTCATGACGTCAAATCCCAATCCTTCGTCTTATATGTCATATACCCATCATCCATTAGTTCATCTGTGTACTTACCTCCTCTCTTCTCCTGGATAACCATTTCCCTGAGGGAAGGCTCCACTCTGTGTTCCGCATGACACCAGAATAGCGCTTTGTATTTGTACAGACTCAATATATGTGTCTTAAACATCCAAGGGGTAGAAAAGGAAATATGAACATGTGAATGAATGCTTCACCCATGGTGAACTAGCCTCGTATCAGTTTATATAGAACAGTTACGGGCTGGAGGGAGAGCTGCTTCTGAGCGGAGGGGCCTTCCCAGATACCTCCGCGCCCATCCGTGAAAGCTAAGTGTGCCGTCTCCGTAGTAAAGCACTCATTTCTTAGAAATCACACCTTTCACTCAGTTGTACCTCTCAGCAGGCAGGCAGGGCCACGGGCGGGGTAACATGCATGGCTTCCAGTGAGTTGAGAAAATGAGGTTAGGTTTCGATTCAGATAGTTATTTGTGTTTTCTGGGTCTGCACGGTCGATAAATTTTCAACGAGCAGTGATTCTGTTCCTCATCTTTCATGCTTTATGGGACTTCAGGGAATGAAAGCATAACATCCTGCTTTCCCATAAGTTCTCTGGCCACTACCCTGGCACCAATTAAAGACATGTCTATGCAATTAATCAAAACCAATTTGGAAGCACTCTGGCGCTGTTCCTCTGATGTGCTGCCTGCTCCACATACAGTAGTTCTTCAGCTGCAGCCATGGAGCCAGGCACATAGGAGCTTTTGATGAACTGGCTGTGCCGGCCCCAGGTGTTAACTATGTCATCTGACATGACTAATGAGGCTCCCAACTTGATCTGCGTGAGCAGAACAGACCTGCTGTCTGGAGGAGGGTCAGTTTCCGCAGCCTGCCTGGGAAGAGGCTGCAACGTGCGTGGTACACACTCCATCATGTCAGCTGGAGTCCTGGAGGCCTCTAGTGTTGGAGCTGGGAGTCGTCCACCAGGAGAGCTTTGGAAACTGTGGGCCAGGCTCTGTGCTGGGTGCTGGTGGGAATGTGACCCAATTTAAACTTCTAGCTCAGCCTCCTCATTTTACAGACATGGAAACCAAGACCCAGCAAAAGTGTGGGGATCACTAGACACCTGAACTTTGGGGAGAGAAATAAAGGAGAAAGGATGGTCCTTATCCTTGAGGAGTTAATCCCCTAAATGAGCAGATAGACAGCCATGGGAGGAACAACTGGGGCTTGATGCAAGTACATCTTATCAAGGGTTAAACCAGGGGTTTCCTTCCTTCATTCTGCAATTGTTTTTTAAGGAAA